AGGATTTACCACACAGGTATATGGCCTCACCACAATTCCCCAAGAACCCTGGTTTACTTCTAGGGGAAACACATTTTCCCACCGGGGTTTCAAGAGAATCTCAGAATGAATTCTTAGAGAATCTCAGAATGAATTCTTAGAGATAAGCTGGACTCTTCCTGTCCTTTCCATTTTCTCTCAGGTCTTGGTTTCCAGAGTCCTAAAATTCCTGGATGGTCTTCTGGCTATCCCTGCTCTGCTCCAGGCCATCCAAAATCCTGCTAGGAACCACACTCCCAAAAGCTGTCAGATCACCTTTCATCTCCAAGGATCCTACCCCATGCATCTACCTTTTGTCTACCCCACGTACCATTTCCTGAGAGTTCTCTATAGATAGCTTGCAAAATCTACAGAAGGCACAGGTCTCAGCCAACCAGGAATTTTCAATGGAGTTGGGAAGGCTGCATACCCAGGTAGCAAACAAGGCGCACAGTAAGGCAAGAGTATCTATTTCAGTATTCCATGTAGGTCCAGTAAAATATTATACTAAATCATGAGGTATGAGTAATTAGGAAATAATGAAGAACAAGCAGCCACTTGTGAGTTATGGACAAAATAATGGGAAAAAAGAAGAAGAGGAAGAAAGGGATCTGAACCAAGACAAACAGTGTCTTAAAAAGGAAGAAAGGGAGATCTGACCTGATAGCTGAATAAGTATGGAGAAGGAAGGAGGGAATTTCTGGGGCTGGAGGCTGAAGTAAGCATGATAAATTGGGGGCTGGGAGGTTAGAAAGCAGATGGGGAAAGTGGGAGAGGCGGGGAAGGCCAAGAACAAGGGAAGAACAGAAAAAAAATTCCATTTGGGATCCTTCCGGACAAGGGACAATTCTTATAGTTTTCCTAGTATCTATCCCATAGCAGATGTTGGTTATTCTACAAAGTATTAAGCATTAAACTGAATACTTACAGTAAGGCCAGTTTGTACAGCCATGAAAAACAGGCAGAGAAATTCAGCCTTGGATCAGTCAGCAGTGGGGAGCCAAGGAAAGTTCTTGAGCAGGAAGCTTAACCTAATCCAATTCAACAAGCATTGACGAAAGGCTCACAGTGTAAGAGGCACTAGAATTCATGGTCCTTGCCCTCAAGGAGCCTGCCACCATGGGAAGGGCTGGTAATACTACCTCCCACACACACAGGGCTTCATTCTCTTGCCTATTCTCACTTGAGACAAGAACGCTGTTCAAGGGAGATGAATGTGACAAGAGAGACTTTTAAAGCAGGCTGGGAGGCCAAACAGGATGATGAGGTCTGGCCAGGGTGGTGGTGACAGAAACTTACAGAAGAAAGAATTGGCAGGGGCTGGTTAATGACTGGAAAGGAGGGGCTCAGAAGAGGGGAGTGATGATGACATAGAAGTCAGAGAGCAGGTAAGACTCAGGTTTCAGTTCCCAGATGGTGACATAATCTTCAGGCCATGCTTTGGCTCCCTGACTACTAAACGCTAAGGTCAGTCAGCTTGGCCATTCTGCCTGTTTCTAGGAATGGGGGTTACACATTCCATCCTTCCAGTCTGCCCAAGGTTTTTTAGGCTAGTTGTGATTTCCTATAATTTCCATTTGCAACGGGGTGGAGGGGATCAATATGGAAGAGATGACAATTCCTTTCTCCCTCACAATAGTGATAAATACATCTCAATAGTCCTGCACTAAAGTTTTACTGGCAGGTCTTATCCTGGGAAAAAGAGAAAAAGGGGAGGAAACATTACATTTAAGAAAACTTGAGGCAGTGTTCTCCCTACCCATGAGTTTTCCTCCTAGACAGAGCCTTCCCAGGTGCATTTAGTGAGGGAGAAGGGATGAGATGGGGAAGTATCAACCCTGACAGCCAGTAGCAGTCCTATAGAGAAAAGAGGCCCAAGATCCCTCACGACCTGCCTATGTGAAAAATGAGCACAAAACCAGAAGAGCAGAATCTACATGAACCAGGGCAAAAATGCTTGAGTATGCAGCATCACTGGAAACAAGTAGTTGGCCTTCCATACTAACTGCTATGAAGGGGAGAGGGCACTTGGGGACAAGGGTGTTGCCAAGTGCTCATCCCAAAGTAGGGCTGCCCAATGTAAGGCTATGAGTCACAGGAGGGCCAGCTTAGCATCCAGAAGTGCGGCCCCTGCTTCTAACACCCTGTGAGCCACTCTGCCATCCCTGACCATCATAGATAAAAGTAGCAAAATAACAGGTGAACAGTGGTGACCTCTGGAAGGGAAATCACATGACTGCGAGTAACCTCTATTTCTTAATCTTTCATTAAGAAACAAGTATACCTTGTGATTTCTTAAATTAAAAAAAACCCCAGTAAGTTAATGGGGGAAACGAATTTGAGATGTATACCTTTACAAAGGAAAAGTGCAATGAGCCCTCTTTTCTAACCATTAAACAAAAATAACAGGGGAAAAAAGAGTGCAGATTGAATGAAGAACAAACAATTGGTTAAAACAACGTGGTGGATTCTCTGACATTTTCTGAACAAGTACTTCTCTCGCACCTGTGACAGATTCTGACTGCCTGAGAACAGTCATGCTATACCCTTCACACAGGGTCCTCAGAGAACTAAAACTAGAATGTGACCCAAGATTACCTGTGATCATACAACATTTTCCCAGTGCTCTGTTAAGGCTTCTTGTGGATGGCAAATGGTCTTTATAAGCCTGTGGTCTGGCTGTGTCAATGGGGAATGGGATGTTTTGTCATCCTGCAGGACTCAATTCTGTAACTGGGGTGGTCATATGATCAGTAACATGAAACCTCAGGATAATAGTAATAGTATCATTAACTGGCCCTTGACTGCTTAATCATTGTACATGGATTTAAGCATCTTCCATCTAATATCTGATTTAATCCTCACAACCTTAAAAGGTAGGTACTATTACTATGTCCATTTTTAGGCAAAGCAGAGAAGTTAAATAACTTGCCCAAGGTCACACAGATAACAATTCATGCGACCAAGATTACAAACTAAGCAGTCTAACCCTAAGGCATGCAATCTTGGTAGAGGTTCAAATTTATTCCATGTTAAATAATGTAATTCAGGGCCGGCCGAGTGGTGCGGTGGTTAAGAGCTGGCTTGGGACGCCAGAGGGCCCCGGTTCGGATCCCACATGAGGGCCAGTGACACTGCCCTCTACAGCTAACATGCTGAACAACAGCTCAACCTGGAGCTGGGCTGCCCTGAGTCGCCGGCCACGGTGTAGGCTGCAGCCACTGCTGCAGTGGGTTGCCATGGGCTACCGTGTGTAGCCAGCAGCCAGAGTAAGCGGCCGTCCAGAAGCCGGTGACTGATCTGCCTCACCCGGGAAGAGCGCAATGATGGTGCCAACTTGGGCCAGTGAAGCAACGTCCTCCACAACTAGACTGAAGAACAAAAGGACAGCAACTTGTCTGTTCCCATCTCCCAATTCCCCAATAAAAAATCTTAAAAAAAAAAAGTAATTCATTTTATATTAAAATTATCCTGGATATATTTATTATAGGACAGAAGGCAAAATTCCCGTTTATTATAAAAAGAAAACAGGAAGCTTTGAATATTGTTCACACTGCTGCTTGCAGCTCTATGGTGGGCTTGGACTTGGCTTTCCAGCTCTACTTCAGAACCAGTGCAGAGGGAAGTGTGTTTAATATTTCAGATGCCAGGACCCCACCCACAAGGGAACTGATTCCCAAGGCACTGGGTAGGTCAGGTAATTCTAAAGCACACTTTGAGAAACACTGCTGCTTTGGGGTATTCCAAAGACACTTCTGAAGCCACTGCAAGATTTGGGAACTAGGTCATTAGATGGTGATGGCTAACTCCTCTGAACTGCTCATGAGACAGATAATCACTTCCAGTAACAGGCACCACAAGCTAATAATGCTGTTGACAGAATGGAGTGTAGTGAAACAGGAATTCAGAGACATTTACTCCCTGAGTTCTCTTTACCTTATGACATGCATTGGATAAAGAGATTGACTTCAAGATCTGCACGAATGTTTGCCCCCAATCTTCCACATTGGAAATATTACCTGGCTAGAAGTTGCCTCAAAAAAAGAACCTGATTTCTCTGGAAAATGACTGCCAAAGAGGGATACATTGTATATTAATGATCAAATGCAGATATCCTTAATAGAAACTTCAGGAGCAATAGGCTGAGAGGGGAAGTTATGTTTTTTTAATGTGTGTTCTTTAAGAGTCCCAACACCGAGAACACTGCCTGGATCTTTGCAAATTCGTTTGTAAATTAAAGAAAGATATCCTTGCTTTCAAGTTTTGCCTCTCTGATTTAGTCAGTCAGTAAGTGTCCATCCACATATATGAGCTCACCAATTCTGTCCTTCCTCTTTGTTTTCAATTATCTTGTATTTCAACTGCATTGCTATCCAAGAAAGATGCCTTCAAGTTTGGAATTGCTTTCAATAATTTAATTAAGTTATGCAGAAATGTTAACACTTTCTTAAGCAACAGCCTGACCATTTCCTGCTCCTTTTGGTTTCTTAGGGTAAGTCCTGGCTGCTGCCACTAGAGGTGGAATTCCTTCAAGGTCTTTACAGAGGCCACATGGTGTGGCCAAGAGTTCAGACTGCCTGACTCTGTTACTTAACAGCTGTGCATCCTTGAAAGGTGTTTTAATCCTTTTCTGGCATCAATTTTCACACCTATAAAATGGGTATAATGTAAGCAATCTACTTCAAAGTTGCTGTGAAGATTAAATAAGCTAATACATATAAAGCACTTAGAACAGTGCCTGGTACATAAAAAGCACTTAATACGTATTATCTTTTATTATGAGTCCACCTTGTAATATTAAGAAAGTTTTGCATGAATCTAGAGCTTTATACTTTTCGAAGCAGTTTCAATCATTATTACAAAATCAGTCTTCACAATAACCATTTAAGTTAGACAAGACTGGAAGTTTATGAACACTTCCTGCTATAAAAAAATGGAACTAACTCACTGCAGCTCTCTCCCTGCGGCTGCGGCGCGAGAGCACAGTACGAACTGCTTGCTGCTGCGGGAGTCATGGCAGGACAGGCATTTAGAAAGCTTCTTCCCCTCTTTGACCGAGTATTAGCTGAAAGGAGTGCTGCGGAAACTGTAACCAAAGGAGGCATTATGCTTCCAGAAAAATCTCAAGGAAAAGTGTTGCAAGCAACAGTAGTAGCTGTTGGATCCGGCTCTAAAGGAAAGGGTGGAGAGATTCAACCAGTTAGCGTGAAAGTTGGAGATAAAGTTCTTCTTCCAGAATATGGAGGCACCAAAGTAGTTATAGAGGACAAGGATTATTTCTTATTTAGGGATGGTGACATCCTTGGAAAGTATGTAGACTGAAATAAATCACTATTGACATGGCATCACGTGAAGCTGCCCATTCCACTGAAGTTCTGAAATCTCATCATGTAAATAATTTCCATGTTTCTCTTTTGTAATAAAGTAATGATATCCAAAGTAATGACATCCAGCGTCTCTTAAAATTTAGTTCCACTGTACTGATATAAACATTTCCAAACAAAAATATAACAATAAATCGTTAAAAAAAAAAAGAAAGAAAGAAAATGGAACTAGCCTGACCATCGGAGCTGTTTATTCATCATTTCCCTCATTAGGTCAGAGACCTGTCTCAATCATCTTTGTATACCATCCTCCCACACATACTAGCATGTATCAATAAATCAGTGTTGAATTGGACTGAATATAGAGTTGGCCATACTGTAAACAGCAACCCCAGCCTTGTGGCAAGGAACTGAGAACAAATAAGAATCATCATTCTAGGGAATTCCTGGCTACCTTGAACACAGAGACAAGAGGGTTACCTTTCCCACTCCTGACTCCAACTCATCCTTGAAAAGGAGCATCTGCTGGAGACGGGGCAGCTAGGGGTCACTTAGTGGAACTAGTCTTTGCACAACCTCTGAGGCAGCAGGGAGTTGCAATAATATAACAGCGCATTACCTAGCCTCTCCCACTGGGCCAAACGGGGATCTATAAATGCGGTGTTTTCAAAGGCAGATGATGCTGCCTTCATTAACTGAAATGGGAGTTGCCTTTCAGTAGAGTACAGGCCACTCTATAAATACCAGGGATTAAAAGGCTTCCTGCAGGGCCCAACTGCCACCTGCCTAAATACAGAGGCTATCTGGTCCTCCAGACCCCAAAACAAACCCCACAGAGCTTCAGAGAAGAGCTGCCATTATACCTATGGTACACACCCCTCCAAGGTATACCCCAACCTTTTTTTTTTTTTCTTTTTTTCTACTTTGGTTTATTTTTCTATTCAACCTCTCCTTTCCACACCCTTCACGCAAGACAATCCACTCCCAAGCACCCCTCCACTACGGCTCCTACCTGGCTCTGTCCTCCTCTCTCCAGGCATTTGTCCTCTGTCTCCCTCACACCTCATCCTCTATCCCAACTTCCTAATCCATATATTTTATCTGCTATAGAAAAGCCCATACGCTTTGGAATCACTCCAAACTTGGTTCTAGCTCCAACCTAGTAAATTACAGTAATTAACTTTTAAAGCTTGGTTTTCTGATCTATACAGTGAAGATAAGCCCACCTAGGTACAGCAGCCGGTACGAAGTCTGGCACACAGCATGCACTCCCTGCCTTGTCCCACTCCCCACAGGGTTTTTCTTCTTTCTTTTCTGGGCCTTGTGACCTTGATACAGCCACTCTTTCTAAGTATCATACTTGCTACACCCAAATATCTTAATCCACAGGAATAACTCGAATGATGAACATTTTCATTACCAATATTATCTGTGAAGCAGGCACATTCTGGGCACATGGTCCCATCAGCAACCTTCAAATTACACTATAGAGAGGACTGGTCACCTACCTCCCCACCACAAATGACTCATTTGATGAGGCAAATAACCAGAGGGGATGGGAAGACAGAGTTGAGAGTCCCTTCTGGCCAGAAACAAGGGATAAAGGACTTTGTAAGGCAATGGTAGCACTAAAACCCCAAAAGGAAGGTTCCCATAATTCCACATTTACATGTAAAAAATTTTTCATTAATTCTGACAGTAAGAATATCTGCCAAATTTTCTAGAAACCCATCTGGTTCATTTCTGTTAAGGCCCAGGCACGACTCACATAGGCGAGGGACTGCCTACAACATGGTTCCCAAAAGGTGGCATCCTAGATGACAGCTCCAAGGCAGTGCACCATTCCTCTTTCCCTAGTGCCATGAAGCTGCTCCTGCAAGTTTGTGATAAGGCCTGAAATAAACCCAGGGCTTGGCTCATTTTTAAGTATCTCCTCTAAAACTTGTAGGCATCACCTTTATAGCCAGATTTAATTTAAGCACGTCTATTTTCAAAAACCAGATAAATACTACAGAAACATGATAAACAGCCTTAACAACTTGTGTTTTAGAGGGGCTTACATAAAGCAGATGGGAGGGTGGCTTCTCCATTGAGCAGTCCAATTGTGCAATTAGCTAAGTGTAAGAGGGCCCTTTCCATGAGGTCTTTAAGATAGTCTAAGGATCCTTCTTTTGCCAAGCCAACGGGAAGCACTTGGATGCCATAAACAAGGAAAAGAAACCAGGCTGGGAATCAGAGCAGACTTGTCTAGAGGTGCAGTGACTTGGTTGGTATTAAGTAATGAAAAGTGAATGCCTCGATAGCACGTCCCTCATACTCTTCAGATCCTGATGGGCAATTATAAAATGTGAACCCGATGTGAACCTACAGCAAGGATACAGTCCAAAGAAAAATGGAGTAAACCACCACTAGATGCAAATTTGGGAAAAGGTGTATTTAAAACACATGAAAACAATGCAAAAACTATCAAGTGCAAAAGTCTGTACAAATATGCACATACCTTCATCCAGTCTACTAAGCGAACTTAAGATTAGTAAAACATTTATTGTATTGCCTGTATATTTCATCAACTGGTTAAGTATTTCACAACCCATGAAGAAGGGAGCAAGGCAAATGTGGTCAAGTCTGATAGAGAGAGAACCAAGAGGGCAAGAATGAGTACACTGAACAAACCCAAGCTGAGAAACCGGAGGCGTGATCAGCTCTAGCCCGCACAACTGAGTCTGGGGACGAGACTCTCTCTCTGGAAACAATACTGGGCAGAAATCACTCATGGGTTTTTCCTCTCAAAATGCAAGAGCCGACAGCAAAGCTCAAATTTTATTTCCCACCAAGTCGGGCTTCAGCTCAACCATTCAGTCCCACAAACAGGCAGATAGTTATGGAGCAGGTGGGAAGTCATAGGCAGTACCCAAGTGGTGTGCAGAGATGCCTTTCCCCAGAGAAACTGAGCCCATCCTTGTGCTGGCCTTCCAAGATGAAAGAGGGAGAGATGAGCAGACTCAGCACGTGAGGCTGTCAGTGTAGATTCCAGCAGCAGGGCAGTTTAACAGAAAAGAACAGACCTAAAGGAGTTGAGAGACCTGAACCTACAAGGGCAGTGGTGAGGCGTCTACCACCAACCAAGCCAAAGGATGTGGGAAAAAAAGAGAGAGGAAACAAGCCTCTCTCTTTTGTCATTCTGTATGTGGTCCATCTGCCTTGGAAAGAGGAGAAAGGACCTGCTACTAAGCTGGCATCTCCCCCTTGCTCCGCCCCACCAAACTGACCCTCAATAATCCCCTCTGTCCAGGCCGGTGGTGCCTTTTACATCCACAGCCCTGGCCGGTGCTGATAACAGTTAATATTTACTGCGCAATTCTATATGCCAAATACCAGGCTGACTGCTTTACATGGTCTCCTGCAAACGCTCTACATATAAGATACTATTGTTAACCCCCATTTTCAGTTGAAGAAGATGGGGCTTAACGAAGAGACTTACCCAAAGCCACACAAACCAGACACAAAATCTAACACAATAAGAGCAAGAGTTGACTACTAATATCACTTCTTCCCCAAAAAAGCTGCCATTTGAGTATCTTTGGTTGTCAGGCACTGTATCTAGTGTTTCAAATATCCTATTTTATTTACTTTCAGAATAATCCTCTGAGGGAATGCTTTTAAACATAATTTTAATTAAGTCAGACATACCAGTGAAACATTCAAATGACACAAAAAAGTTGAAGAAGTTAGTTTCCTGTTACCCTTCCTCATCCCAGAATTTCCTACCCCAGGTAATCACTAATATTTTGGTAGCTACTCTTCTATAGATAGGTAGTGTTGCAAGTATCATCTCCATTTTACAAATGATAAAACTGAGGATCAGAGAATTTAAGCTTGCTCAAGGTCATACACTGGTAAGTGGCTGAACTGAGAGTGAAAGCAGGGTCAGTCTGATTCTGAGGCCTGCTCTCCTCCACTGCCTCCTGCTCTGTACCTACTTCTTAAAACAATCGTTCATTTTCATTCACCATAGGAAAGGGGGAAACTATGCCTGGCCCAGAGCCAGTCTTACTCCTCCACTTTCCCAACTAAATGGAAAAACAGCTAGGGCTGGCCAAGGACACCCTGTCCCGTAACATTAGCACTACTTTATGTTTCCTCAACTCTAAGCTGTCATGGGTGAGGCAGGACCTTCACCTCTACATCCTCACTGCCCACACAGGCTCATCTTTCAGAGGCTCACCTGTCTCTGAAAACAGGACAGGTCAACGGAGAAGAGGAGGTCAAGCCTCACCTAGAGGAGACCAGGGGTCCCTGGTCAGCAAAAAAAAGGAAGAATGCTCCTTCAGGACCCTCATGAATTCTGAGGCCAAGACAGTACTCCTTTGGAAACAATTATCAGGGGCATCTTGGGGGAGGCCCTGGACTCACCCTTGCTAGCTGGAGTCAGAACACACCTGCAGAAAGACAGAATTAAGATTGCAACAATGCCTGATACAGAGTAAGTTTGCAGAGCCACTCAAAATCCCCATCACAGAGCCCTTGGAACCCAAGGAACTCTGAATTTCTGCTCTGGCATACTCCCAATTGGACTCTCTACTAACCCCAAACTGCATAGATTTCTAGATACCAGGGTTTTCTCCCAATGGCCTTCCCTCCTCCAAAAATTACAAGCCTCTTGGGCTATATGGGAATGCCTTTTCCTCGAGAGATGAAAATTGCCTTTTTGAATTAGGTACATTTACACATTTTTGTCCCATCAGTACACAAAAATATACTGACCTTGAGAGTACCTATGCTGAGATGGGGGTGGGGGGAACAGGAAAGAGGTTGTTATTGCTTTTCATGAGCAAGTTAAAATTTACCCAGTCTGCAATTCCAGGAGGTTTCCTATTTCCCTGCATGGGATACCAATGTTTGATTCAGCCTGAGCCCCAGCTGACTCAGCATCAGTATTTACATGTACAGTGGCTGCTAAATGTCTACTGGTTATCAAAAGCCTTGGCTTTCCCATTTGTAAAATGGGACTAAAACCTTCTTCAGTGCATTACATAATGTCTTCTGTGAAAGCACTTTGTAAAATGAAGAAATCTTTATTGCTACTAATATGGATACCC